TCTCATGCCCATTTATCACAGGGAGGGAACTTAACCTCCCAGTACACCTGCAGAGACACAAACACTCACTGCAGGCAACGAATTCCAATCTGACCACACACACACACACACACACACTGCACGGATACTATAATACATTAAAGCTCCCTTCACTTGACAAAGAGCTTATTTACACATGTCATTAACATGTCATTTCGATCCCACCTGATCAACACGTGACATCAATAAGTAAATAAATCTGCTGGACCACAGAGGCGTGTGGCTGACGTGTAGCTTGCAACACGAGTGCGTCCTGTTGACACCATGTTGGTCTTACTCGTGTTATTTCTCTGCAGTTTCAGGTATGTGGCTTTAGCAGTGGTCAACTTTTGCCTATAATGTGTTCTGGTTCATAATTACGAGGAATCTCTTTGAATTTTGATCCAGCTTTTAAATCTGGAACACCTCAACTCTGGATACCTGGTCAGCTCTCTTCATACTGTCCCATCAAAAGCCTTCATGCTAACATCGTGCTCCATTTCTCACAAACACCTCGTTCATACAACTGCTTCCTTCTTCCTGCTGCGGTCCGAGTGCCTGAGTCTATGCCTCTGTTCACAATACATTTATTTTAATTCTAATCTCTTTCTCTAAAAGTCTTTTCTGATTGAAATACGAGCTGCAATACTTTTTCTGCAAAACATGACAGATCCCATAAGGTCCATGTTGACAACACATGTAAAATTACAGTATAAAAATGTATAATTTTACTACAGTTCAGTCGACTTCTGCTAAATAGATGCAAAAAACATCTTCACCGGGTGATTCTTCATGCTTCCTGCCTCGCTCCCCGTATTTTCAGTTAAACAAACTGTGCCACAGGAAAACGTTGTGCACGCTATATGTGCAGCACAGTACGTATGCATGACTGCTCCATACATTTACTGCAAGAACACTGCATACACGATGTTCCTCCACCCCCCCTCCCCACCTCTCTCCTTCTATCTCCCCCTTCACTCTCTCTCTGATGTCGGGCAGAGGACAAGCCACATGTACACCAGTCAGAAACATCCATTTGCTGTCAGTTTATGAGGCGTTTATGAATTATAAAACTGTGACAACCGGGGACGCGGGAATGAGTGAAGTGGGGATAAGATGGGCAGAATGAGAGGGGGCATAAATGGTAGCGTATTCCCTTTAGTTGCATTATTGTGTGTGTGTGTGTGTGTGTGTGTGAGCATGAGGGAGGATATGCATCTGCATGTTATTGTGTGTCTGTTGCATGTGTGTGTGTAACTGTGTGTGTCCATGTGTGCATGCACTGACTTTGTGCTGACATTGTGTTATCTGGGTGTAGTGCTCCCACGGCTGTTCTTATTTGGTGGCTCGGGAATATCCAAGAATTTATCAATTTATTCATTCAATTACAAGTGTGCACGTGTGTGTGTGTGTGTGTGTGTGTGTGTGTGTGTGCATGTGTGTGTTTCAGTGTGTATGTAAATGAGAGTGTGTTTTCAATACAGCCTGATACCTGCGCCATCTGGCCCTGTAATAGCCTTCTATGCCCTCCAGAATCAGATGATTGTGTCTGGCTGCAACAGACACACACACACACACATGCAGAAAAGACACACTCCAACTGGAGGCAATGTTTTAATGGTAATTGAAAAGTTTCTTGCCCCAAAATTAAATTATGTAAATGATATGTCATGCAAACTACAGTTCTTGTGAAGTTTGACCCCTGCACACCCTCAGCCCTCAAGAAAGAACATGACATTTTTGGAACTGTGTGTTTGCCGGTGTAGAAGGAGCTGGAGAATCAGGGAGGAGTCAGGTTCAACTCTGTGTGTGCAGCAGCAGCATGTTTGGCCTTTGTCTTGTTAACATGCAAACCAGGAAACACGCCTAAAAAAAACCACCCGAGTTTCATTTCAAACTCTGCAGAGCAACAGGTGCTGCATGGTCACAGGGTCCAGCTGTTTTCAGAGTGGCTCTAGGAATGCAGTGTCTTGTGGGACAGACTGAAATATCTGTAAGTATTTGATGACTAGCCATGACATTGGCTGCAGCTCCAGCCCCCCCACTGACCCTCAAGAGAATAAGTGGGATATATAAGGAATGGATTGATGGTTCCCAGACAATATATCCTCATATCTTTGGTGAGCTGAAGAGTCTCTTGATCTAGTTTCTACTCTTGAGATAAATAGATTTTGATTGGTGTACGTCTTTGTGCTCAGCTGTGGTTAAATCCAAAAAGACCTAAGAATCACACACACAAACCTAAAGTCACACATTTCCTTGCAAACCACAGATTTTGCACTTTTCTAATCCAACTGTGTGTTTCCAGTTTCTGCTTGCCTGAGATGGTAGACAGATGGCAGACATGTTGCAGTGAACAGATTTGGTTGTTCACAGTGTCAGCACCTGCTAATATGGGAAACACTCTACCAAGCAATTTGCAACACGTACAGTATGAAAACAACCAATTATCAGGTTTTATAGGTTTCCCTCGGGTTTGACTCAAGGTTTGGAGACAAGTGATTTGAGCTCCTGCTGACATAATCAGCCACATTTTATAGTTGTGTTGCAGCATCTCTGCTTCGTCTGAGGTCCCACATGGAAGAACAGGATCTCACACATCTACAATATGTTGCAAGCTCGGGCTGGCAAAGAAAAACAAACCCACCAGTCTCTGTGTTTTTCATCTTCATATATTCACTTGTTGACATTCATTTGCTTTCTTTGTTGCTTTCCAATTAAAGTTGAAGACCTATTTACCTCTATATTATGTAATCTCATTTATTTTGTCTTTATCAGTCACTGCCCCCCCCTTCCTCCTACATGTTCAAACTTTTGAAACCATCCGTCCATCATCTGAAACACTAGTCCTCTGAGAGGTGGAGCCAATCCCAGCTGACCTTGGGCCAGAGGCGGGGTCTACACTCGTAGACTGTATATGAAGAGGGGCCCCCATACAGAGACAAACAACCATTCACACCTACGGCCAATTTAAAGTCTCCAATTCATCGAACCCCAATCTGGACTGTTGGAGGAAGCCAGAGTAATCAAAGAAAACCCACACAAACACACGGAGACGTGCAAACTCCACACAGAGAGCTGGGATTCGAACTGGATACCCTCTTGCTGGGAGGAGACCATACTAACAACTGTGGGGCTGGGGGGGTTGAGGACGCTTCTAACACACGACAAAAAGAAAACAAATCTCTCTCTGTGACACACACGTAGACGACACTGACGAAGATGTCAAGAGAGTTTGTGGTGATAAGAGCTGACGGGGTGTCGGGTGCTGTAAACATGATCACGTGATCTACACAGCAGAGTCAATACGTCACTTCCTGCCTCTGCCTGCTGCACCCGGCTGCTCCACCTCTCGCCTGAATGATGCAGTGGATCTGTTGCTGTTGTGAACACGTCTGTGTGAAATTTTATGGCTATACCTGTCGCTGGCAGCAGTTCTCACAGGTTAGAAAAGCATTTCTGGAGCTAACTGTTGAATTTTGAGGTTTAAGTACAAAAAGGAAAAAAAAAGACCAACCTTTCTCTCCAGAAATACAAAGTCAACACATGTTCCCATGAAATAACAGCCTCCATATTCCCAGTGGCCACTGAGCATCCTAAATTCAGTCAGTTACAGAAGTAATGAGGTAAATCAGGGTGTGATGTGTTTGCATAATTCAACAGGTCCCTCAACTGTGGCTGCTGCCAAACCGACACCTCATCCCAGCACCACCCAGGTCACTCCCCCACTGCCCAAATCTTTGTCTTTTTCTGGCTCCCAACAACGAGACGACAGCACGGCTTCAAAAAGAACAAATGCCTAACAATGCTCAGTGCGAGATCCAGGTACTTGTTAGCGGTGCAGCTGCCTGGCTAATAACGCTGCCAGCTGTCTGTGTTTGTGCCTGTTAGTGCTTTATTTGTACCTTCAGCTATAAATGCAGCGTGATGACAAGCAAACAAGAGCAGGAAACGATCTTATTCTATTCTGTGGCGGAGGAGAGGGATGCAAGAGTGAATGCAGGGAAAAGGACAGCTTCTTAAGAAGTGAGTTACAGGGATTATGGGATGCTGTCAAACACACGCTCTCACATACACACACAGAGGAAAATACACACTCACACATGCACACTGGCACACTAGGCACACCAAAGCTCCTCTGGTGTTAGATAGACAGAGGCAGACAGCGTGTGTGTGTGTGTGTACAAATATCTTTGTGAGGACCATTTTGAGACTAGAGCGGGTCGTCCACTAAACAGAAGGTCGAGCTCCACTCCACATGCTGAAGCGTCCTTGGGCAAGAACCCTAACTTGCGTGATGTGCTGCACATATATCCACTGTATGAATGTTTGTGGGAAAGTAAGGACATTTGGGCTGGTCCTCACTTTGTGTGTGTGTGTGAACTTTCAAGGGTCTTCAAAACTAGAAAAGCACAAAACAAATACACACCATTCACCCTCTCAGGAGCTAACGGGGGTGTTCTCACTAAGATAGAGGTTATAGGTTATATACACGGATGCTGTGTGTGTATCTGTATGTATATTTGTTCTGATATTTACTATATACAACTTTACCATTTTGAGCATACAGACCTTACGGAGTGAGGACATTTTGTTTGAGGGTTAAGACTTTTTTAGGTTCGTGGTTAGTTGAGGTTTGGGTAAGGGGCTAAAAGATGCATTACGCCAAAGAGTGTCCTCACTAAGATAGAAGTACAAACATATCTGTGTGAGTGTGTGTCTGTGTGTGTGTGTGTGTGTGTGTGTACGTGCAGCTGGAACTACTAACACACACACACATGGATAGACACTGCTGGGAAAATCAGACAGCCACACACACGCACGCGCACACTAAGAGAGAGAGAGAGAGCGAGAGAGCAGATGCAGAGAGACAGCTGTGTGTGTGTGTGTGTGTGTGTGTGTGTGTGTGTGTGTGTGTGTGTGTGTGTGTGTGTGAGACAGACAGACAGACAGACAGCCGGTCGGTCAGACAGATCACGTACCTTCCAGACAGCAGGTTCGCCACAGGCCGGAGTGCGTCATCACCTCCTCGTTCTTGCGGCTCGTGTCGTTGTCGCCGCTGCTCTTCACGCGACAGACCCCGCGCGAGTACAGCCAGTAGTCGGTACCGACGGCGATGGTCATGAGGCTGAAGGCGGCGAACGCGCCCACCGTCGTCACGAGCATCTGGACGCCGCGGTCACACATCAGCATCTTCATATAGGCGGCTCCTGTTTGTCTCTATGTGTCTTTTCTTTTTCGTTCCTCCTTCGCTTCTAGATTCAGCCTTTTATTTCCTTCATATCCCGCGAGACTTGGAGAGTCGGGGTGAGGTGTTCAACAGACAGGCACTCAGAGATGGGTCTATAAATATATATATATATATATACATATATAATATATATAGAGATGGTAAACGGTGGGGTTTATAAGCACAGGGAGGAATATGGAATACTTGGCTGCCTCGTCCGTGGAGTTGACAGGAGGCTCGTGGCAAAGGGCGGGAAGGTGGGAGGGCGGCACGTCACTTTCTCGCGCATCAAAAACCGGTTTTCACCACCACCACCCCCGTGCACACGCACACACCGGGGTTTTTTCACGACCACCGGTTGTCCTCGACTAACCGACGCTGCCCCCAGTCAGTCAGGGTGACGGCGACACCACATTCTGCCTTGTCCCTGTGCGTAATTCGTCGCACGGTTACGCACGGCCAGCTGCGCAAAGAGCCGCGTTACCCAGCAGTAACCAGATCTGTTCTTCTTCTTCTTCTTCTTCCTCCTCCTCCTCTTCCTCCCTCTCTTCCCTTTCTCAACTTCTGCTCCTCCAAAACAGCTCCCTCATCAATCTGTTAACCGTTAACAGCCAAGGTCTGCGTGGGGGGACTCCATCTTTAAAAGAACAACAACAACAATAATCATGATAAATGGGTTGGTTTGGTTTCCTCACCGATGTAACCGCTCATCGTGTGTGAACAGAGAGGATTTTAAAAACCGTTTCCAGTGAAATAAATCAGCCCCTCGCTCTGGACTCACCGCTGGTGAAGGATCCGCTCCTGTGTCTCGCAGCAGCAGCAGCAGCAGCAGAGACGTGAGGCGGTGCAGCTGATGCTTTTTTTTTTTCTTCTTCCTGTTGAATCACTGAATGAATGGAGGATGAATCAAGGCCATACGCGTCGGTTATGAAGAGAGAACTGACGCTGGCCGAGATCCGTCGTGTGTTATCCACTCCAGCTGTTGACTCACTGACATGTTCCCTCGTCTCCCTCCTCCAGATGTGCGCAGGAGCTGGTGCCAAACAGTCGCTGACAGTAAATGAGAATAACAATAAAAATCGTTTTTTTTTTTACCAGCGATTATCTGCAGTGAGGAGACGCACCAGTGTTTAAGTTAGAGGCACAAAAAATCTCCTCCGTGCAGGATTCATCAATTTCCTCTTCGCTCGGTCTCACCGTCGGAGTTCGACCACAACCGGGACGAACCGGTCCATATAAGCCGCCTGCAGATGGACCCTCTCGGACAGTTACACCCGCTTGCTCCCGACGAAAAAAACGTGCCCGTTCCTGCGAATGAGAGGAAAAAAATGACAGCCGCCCCCTCCTCCTCCTCCTCCTGCTCGTCTTCCTCCTCCTCCTCCTCCTCACGGGTCCAACCAACACAAACCAAAACTAACCGCGCGTCTCCCCAAACTCCGCCTGAGGCCGCGCCGCTCGGCTCGGATTGGACTCGCGGGTGACAGCGGCCCTTCTGGAGCTAATCCGGCCCCGTCACCGCTGCGTGTCCCCGCCCACCGCCGCAACGCCGTCGGTATAAAACGCGGGTGGATCTCCGGCAGAGAGAGGAGGAGATGTTCGGAGTTTCAAGATCAGCAACGGCAGAGACGCGTCATTTTGTTTGTGTATCATCACACAAAGTTGCTGACAGCCGTGTCACTCACTGTGTTTACATGTTGGAGCGCGCACAGACACGCACATGCTTCATATCAATATCACATGTTCCACACATGTTCCACACATGTTCTTTAAATGCACATTATCCACTTTCTAGGCGGTGCCGCGCCGCTGCCGGTGCCGCTGCCGCTGCTGTGCCGCACAGCTGCCGCTCCTGGAGAGAGAGAGCGCTGTCCGTGGTGCTGAACGGCCTGGAGGCGCTGTCCTTGGTCCTGAATCGAAGTATATTAACGTATTTATCCAGTTAACGGTGTATCATTGTTTTGTTATATAATGTATTATATAATTATGATTGCATTATTCTCTCTCTCTCTCCTCTGTTCGCGGCTTCAGTGGCCCCTGCACCGCACTGATTAGTTAGAGGAGAGTAAGAGAGAGAGATGAGGGGGGGAGGGGGTGGGGGGTTAGGGGAGAAAGAGAGATTGGCAAGCGATGCATGAAGAATCGCGCCCGGGAGAGAAGCAGAGACGCCACTTAAAGAGCCACGGACCGTTTTTAATGATTCCACTCCAGCGAGGCTTCCACACAAGGCGGTCTGAGCTTCACAGTTCACTCCACACACCGAAGAAGAACGTGTGTGTGTGTACGTGTGTACGTGTGTACGTGTGTGTACGTGTGTTCAGCCTATGTACTGCAGGCATTTGTATGTGTTTATGTCGATGTTCACGTGACGCTCTCATGTGCAATTGTGTGCACATATAAGCATGTGTAAGTGTATTTATGAGGTGTGTATGTGTGTGTGTGTGTTTTAAAGCTCATTGTATTGTCTGTTTAAACAGCTATGAATTGAAGCCTGTCCTCTCCACTGGAGACCAATGACAGGATGACAGGACTGCGGGGAGGAATAAATGAACGAACCCTCACTCTCTAATTGTTATCTGAATGTGTTTATTCACTAGTCGCACGTTTATATATGAATGAACACACACACCTTGTGCACATATATCTGACAAAAGACAGACAAATGATTAATGTAAGTACGATGTTGTAGAATGATCTGTAGATGTCAGTATGTCAGTACTTAAGTGCCATACCTCATTAATTAGGTGACTGGTGAATTGACCTTGTGAGTGACTGGTTGAATAGAGGGTTGTTGTAGTGACTATGAAATAAACAGAGGAGGAAACATGGGAATTAAATCCACCGTAAACAAATATGGAGAAAGAAAAGTGAAGAGAGTGGGAGAAAGAGGGATTACAGATAAATAAATGCATGAACAGATCAACAGAGAGCAGTGACGGGTCCTATCATCCTTCTCACTTGCTCTGCCAGTGTGTGTGTGTGTGTCCGAGGCCCTCGCTGCCTGCGTTATCTCACAAGGAAACTCATTAACATAGAAATGACTTCAGGAAGAGTACAGCATTTCACCTCTGGTGAGAGACAGGAGGGAGGGAGGGATGCCGGAGAAAAGAGGGACGAGGAGTGACAGCACATGACGAGAGGAGGGAGGAAAAAGAGGGGAAGAAAAAAGTAAGAGAGACTGTGGTGGTAGAGCGAGAGTGGACGAGTGCAGCAAGGAGAGGGTGAGGAGTGGGACATGATGGAAAAAACATATGAGGAAGGACAGGCGGAAGAAGACAGAGTGAAGATAGAAGGAGGTGGTGGAAAGGGAGAAGAAGAAAGGACAGGATTGAGAGGAAACGAGACAGCGACAGGATCAAGGAAAAACGATGCAGTGATGCATTGTTGCTATGTGTCTCCAAGAAAATATATTTATACCATAATAATTTGTGTTACCAAATTTCTTCTGAAGAAAACATCATTGTGTGGAAACATCTGAGACAAATTACATAGTGATCAATTAAAAATGTTGTCGGGATAAGGTTTTAACTCTCGTAGTTTGATGAAGCAGGATGTGTTTACTGTTTTGGCACTTTTGTCGAGGTAAGCAGTCGTTGAGGTATCGCAGTGGGAAGCTCAGCTGTTTGGTGCCACACTGACCACTCACCAGACGTAGATGCTTCTGTTGTTAACTGCTGAAAAATAAAGATGAACATTTTGCAACATGGCAGTTCAGGTTTTCTCATTTAATACAGTCAGTGTTAGAAATCTCTCACAACACATTTGCTGTTCTCACTTCCAGGAAACAGACTTTGAAAGACAATGAGTAATGTCGAGACAAAGGGAGAGAGAAAGAGAGAGAGAGAAAGTGAAGGTCTCAACCAAACACACAGAGCAGCTGTGACACTTGTTGCCTGCAGGTGGCAGACGTGGCAGAAATGCAGCAGCTTTTGTGCCTGTAGATGGTGCAAAACTTTTGTTGCTGTTACATTTCTTGCCAGTAGGTGGCGCAGGTTCGAGTGAACACCAACTTAAGCACCTACATTGGTTCTTTCATTCGTTTCCCGTCTCTTTTCTTTCGATCGTGTCAGCGGCTGAAAGCCACTTTTCTGGAAGAGGCGGTATTGAAGTTTATCAATATTCTGAATACTATTTGGCGTTTGGCCCTGGTGTTGCTAGGCAGCAGGGTTGGAGAGGGGTCACTGATCCCAGTGGGAAAAATGCATCATGGGAAATGCAGTTTTAAATCATTAAAGGGTTTTGTGTTTGCCCTTTCTCTTTCTGATTATTTCCTTCCTCCATCGCTCTTCTCCTTTTCTCCCTCAGTTATGAGGCGGCACAACAGGGGAATGAAGGGAGGAAGATGGGGGGTGGTTCTTGAAGTGAAGAGGAGGAGGACTGCAGGGTTTCTGCTCACTGAGCTGGAACCTTCTCATGCCTCTGGCCAGTGCTCAGAGACTGGGAGGGGGAGGAGGAGGAGGAGGAGGAGGGAGGGGAGGAAGAGGAAGGGAGGCAAGGCAAGAGGAAGAAGTTAAAGGGAACCAAAAAAACTGAAATAATTCAGTGAAAGATAAACGGTTTGGGGGAAGATTGAAGAGGAGGGGTTGAATGACAGGACAGATATACTACAAAGAGTGAGTGGACACAGTCTGAGGGACATGCTCTCTGCATGTGTTACTGATGAGACTAACCAATCAGCCCTGTTGTAAAAACTTGACCTATGTGCTTGTGTTGTGTTTTTTTTATATCTCTGTGCATTTGTTAGAATTACATGTGTATGTGTGTCTGTGGATGCGCTCCTCTGCCTGTGCATGGTATGATTGTCTATGTGCATCTGTGTTTGACTGGGTTTCACCAGATGGGAATGACTCCAGGGCAGAGAGAGGACATATGGTGATGTGGCATGATTCTGGCTTGATGCTAATATGTCAAAACTGTGATTTATTACTTAGACCACATCCACAAATACAGCCCCAGAAAAAGGTCTATGAAG